AGCACTTTTGAGCTCTCAACTACAGTTTGAATCATTAGCTTCTCGGTTGCGGTAGAAGCAGCTGCTGCTGCAGCCAACTTCATCTCTTTCGATTTCTTTTGAATTTCTGTTCTTGCCTTGTCAATTAATAACTGTCTAGCATCAAATGCTGGAGAATCCAAGCAATGCCTAACATAAGCTTCACTCACACTAGAGGGCTTAGCATTGGTACTAACATTTCCATTTACTTATGCAATTGAGCTCCATTTAATTGGTGCTTCATTTCTAAAAGTTTTGGATACTTTTTCATCATACCCATTTCTAAAAGTGCTTTCATCAATCCTCCTTTTCTTCAGAACTAATAGCTTTGGAGAATGGAGGTTCAACATGGACAGCCAACGTTTTACAAGATGTAGCGTTCAGGACATTCTTTGTGAAACCCTTCTCCCGTGCTGTTGTCTTAACCTTCTCTCCTGTTCTCTTTACATTGCCATTTGTATGATGAAGTACACCAGCAGATTGGATGGTTGATCCATGAGCACCCACAACGCCAGCAGGGGTTCTAGGGAATGGGCTCCACTGGAAAGACATGTTTGGATACTCAAACCCAAACACAGAACAAAAAGCAAGGAACAACAGTTAATGTGGTATTGGTTGGAAGATATGTTATGCCACTGGACCCATGATTTTCATACACATTTTTTGGAACAAATTGTTGAAAAAGATCCCTATATTTTCTTTGTTTAAATTAAAGAGATTTTAACAACAAATAGCAAGCGTGTAGTAATGAAACATACAATCAAACACAATGTACGCAAAAGTAATAGACATTAAGATTTACGTGGAAAATTCCTTAATGTGAGAGTAAAAACCATGAGACCAAAATCCAAATCATCCACTATCAATAATAATAATAGGATACAATGTTTTTTCTATCTAGTGACAACTAAATGATGAACATCAAGAAAGCTTTTGGATTCTAATAACGAAACATCAACAAAAATGGATAGCAAACAAAAAATCCCTCACCAAGAGTGGAAGCATAACTAAGAAGTAAGAAGAGATGTTGAAAAAATGATTTGTCTTCTCCATTTCCGTTTCAACCCTTATAAATCTTTCTTCTTCCCATAAACTTTCTTCTCAAAACCTTTTTCTTTTTCTAATATTTTCCCTTAGAGAATTGTTAGAATTGAGAGAATAGTGAGTAAGTTATTCTAATTCGTTGGGTAGCCAAAGAACATATTGGCTTGCCTTGCAGGTCAACACAAAAAACGGAGAAGTACGAATAGGCCCAATAAGATTTCTGATTTCCACTGCAGAGCTATAAACATTCAAAAGGTCAAAAATCCATACTCTATGCACTCATACCTGCCTGTGAATTGGCATCAATTCCGAGCTGGCACCTACCCCAAATGCACTTTGAGCCTATAAATTCTGACATTGGGCTGCATCATCATTCTCCCTATAAAAAAGTTTGTTTACTTTCCAACCCCTTTTCTTCTTTTTTGTCTTTTTTTTGTCTTTATTAGTGGGTCCCACCTCATAAGGAGGGAACCCAACACAAATGACCAAGAATAGGAAGGGATAGAACCACCAGCAAAGGCTTTCCTTATTTCTACAACCACAAAAGTTTTTTGGCATTTCTTAGAGGAGAGTTTGTTATTTACATACTTCTAAAGATATTCATATTGTACCTTGCACGAAGTACAAATCTAGAAAGTTTGAGAGTTGGGTCAGTTATGAATCAAACTCTTGGAAAAATTGCTTGAGCCATTACTTACGGGGTTCTTAGCTATGGGGTAGTTTGCTTGGATCACATTTGCTAAGGCTGCATTTGGAAACGATGCAAATATGTGTGAATGCAAATATGTAGAGTGTAAAACGGTTCATATAAATTGTAAACTTGGGTTAGTTTTGCATTGACAAATTACCTTCTTACCATATAGACTTTTAACTGTAATGGATACAAACACGAATTCCAATAAACATATGTTTTTTTTATCAAAAGCCCACTTGAATGAAAATTTACTTCTTTTTTATTGATGTACTTTTACATCTTATTATCAATGTAAATATGTAGGGCTGTTCATGGGTCGGGTTGGGTTGGTTTACTGCGATTTTTTCAACCGATCTGACCTGATCGGGTTACCTGACATAGAAACTGAAACCGACTCAGTGTTAAGCAAAACCGACCTGGTCGGTTTGAGTTGGGTTGGGTCGGTTTGGGTTGGTTTCGGTTCTAAGTTCATCCTTGTGATAAAATCTTGCTAATTTAAAAAACAATCATAAATTGAACATCATTTCAGCCATCTCTTATGATAAAATTTAAATGAAAAGTTAATCACAAAAGTTGTTCATTAATCACTATTCACTAATCCAAAGTTTATTGCAATTATTCAAAAACTAGGTGGCTTAATGGGCTTTGGAACTTCATGTTTGAACCAGGAACTAAGTCAGTTCGATTCGGATCGGTTTCGGTTTTCTTGTGTGAAAATCGAAACCGACCCGAATCATTGATTTAGGAATTTGCACAACCCGAAACCAACCCATGCTGATGAAAACCCGTCCGACTCGGATTGGGTCGGTCTGGGTTGGTCGGTTTAGTCGGGTTGGGCCTTCTTATGAACAACCCTATAAATATGCATTGATCTGTCATTTGTTAATGCAAAATGTAATGTTGCTAAATACAGGTAAAAGTGAACTAGAGTGCAAATTTACCCAGAACCACAATTTACACTCCATTTGCATAGCCTAAGGACTGGTCTCCTCGGAAACAATTGCATAAAAGGAAAAGAAGAGGAAATATGTAAAGGGAAACAACATAAACTTACCACTTTCTTCCTCAATAGCCGGTTGCAGAAGATCATTGAATAGGGGAGCCCTCCTTCGCGTGTGAAGAATTCTCATTGTTGTTCGTTCAACCCGGATCAAAGAGAAAAGAACCCTTTTCCCCCTTTCTTTTAACGTTTAATCTAAAATTTTTAAAAGATGTTACTTTTGTCATTTTGGAACTATTTAATTTGCACATGATGTTGTGTGATGGTGTTGTCTTATGGTTCATTAAACTCAGTTTGGAAGGAGTACAAATACAAATATGTACAGTGCAAGTACATACAAAATACAAGGTTTTACACTACAAATTTATTTATGTACTCCTTCCAAACTGAGCATTAACGACAAGTACTAGATTGACACGTTTTGAAAGTTTAGGTATTGAATTGTGACATTTTAAAATTCGGGGACCAAAGTGACACTATACACAAAGTACAATATACTAATCGAGAATTTCCCTATGTATAATTAAGAATCCTAATTCAATTGAAACTTATCTATTCTCTACTCTCTCTCTCTCTCTCTCATCCTTATCATAACAAACCTATTCTTATCTCAATTCCACTTGTTGCATTCTATTTTATTTGCTAGGAATGTTGTTTTTTCATCTTGTCGCTATGTATTAAAGCTCGTCGATAAGATTATGGACCATACTTTAAATCCTGCTTCTGGTGTGCCTATAAATAGGAATCAATTTAATTATAAAGGTAAATCACAACTGGGCCAGAGATCTTTTCGCTTTTTGATTATGTTGGATTTCAGTATATTTTCAAACAAGTAAATAGGGGCTACTCATGTTTTAGCCCGGAAAGCTAAACATTTTCATGCAAAGGAGGATTGGTGGTGTCAACTCCTGAATGGTTGAACTTCTATGCCCCTGTTAATAGTTGTTTTTTTTTCTCCTTTGAAGGCTTATTATGTTCCTGTTAAGTGTTGATTACTTTTATCCATGTGAAAGCCCATAGGCAAATTCATTCAACTATTAATCTTAGTTACATCTTTGGACATAATAGAAGAGATAAAATCCGGTTCTAATGACCAGGTTTGTACAGAATTACAGGAGATGGCAAATTTAGCAAGATGATATGCTACATTTAGAAGAAAAAGTAACTGAGGAACCATCCAGGTGAGTTAGAAGACTCAGTGGTGAAGAGTTCTCCTCCAACAAGATCTTGACAATAACTTCATCGTCACTTTCAAAGATGGTGTGAGAAAATCCCAAAGAAATAGCAAATTTGATACTCTCCAACAGAGTAGTGGCTTTAAGAATTAAAGCCTTGCAAGGAATAGCTCGAGCATAGACAAAAGAGCCCTCATGATCTCTGACAATGAGTGAGCTCTCGGCTAAGACGAAATTGCTGCCCCATGGGCCAACTGATCGTGGCATTAATGAAGGTTTCTTTCATGCTAGAATTACAGGATTTCAGTGTCACCTTTCATGGGATTGTAGATTCATTAGAGGACATGAGAACTTGCAAATTATTCGAAATGAAAACTTGATCATCTCATCATGGGTGTTGAAGATAACTTTGGATAACAAGCCCAGAACGATGGCTCTTTCCCAGCACCATTTCAATTGCGACTGTAGTAAGGTTAGTTGATGGCAGGTGACAGATAAAGGTGTCAATGGACCGGTTTTGGATTGAACCCATCCAAACCAAATTCAATTTGGATGGATTGAACGGACCAACAAGATATACTAAATTGAACCAATCCAGACTTAATGGTCCAAAATATTTATTGGATTGGACCTAATCCATCTATAATGAATTTATATTGGATTAGGTTGGATTGAACCAATATCTAGTCGATTGATAGAAGATAAGAATATAGATGACAATGAACCAGGTTTGGGCTAGAATTAATCTAAATTAAAACAAAATTGAAAAGATTGGACAGTCCAGAATTGGACCAGTCCAAAATGATCCAAAATATTCATTGGATTGGATTGCACCTGATCCATTTGTAATGGACTCATATCGGACTGGATCGGATCGGACCAAATCTAGTCCAATTGACACCCTACTGACAGATGAACCATTTCATTGGAGCTTTTTTCACGTGGAAGTGATCTGTAAGGAAAGAATGCTTTCCGGTTTGACGTACGTGTCAGTGGGTGATCAATCACATTCACTTTCATACCATGCAACCCAAAAATAAATAAGCAACTTGGGGTGAGGCGGGGGGAGTGAGGGAACTATTCAAGTGACCCAGTAGCTCAATCTTCAGTTCTCATGTTTTTCTTTTTCATCAAATATTGATTTTTACCCCTTACCCCACCCTCCCTCTTCCTTTCAACATGTAGCTCCATCACATGTTTTCCAACTGCATACTACTGAAGTGAAGACAGGACCCTCTCCCTCCTGTTCCACAACGTGTTCTCTCTAATATGTACAAACACACGAACATCCCATTACATCATTTGTACAGAAAATATATACTTGGAAAAGTATTATCTACATAAATCAAGAACTACATACATGTAGGGAGACGATAAACACTGGCCTGAAATCTGAATCATCATTCCACTGTAACCAGCATCTTCACACCCATGGAGAGCATTTTGGATTTTGGATTGGCAGGATCAGCATCCCTACCTCATCTGCTGCTTAACAACTGTGTCAGCCAGATACAGGTAGTTGGTTGGAACTGTGAAGTGTTCTAGAAAGTAGGTAGCAACCACCCCATTGTCCATCCAAGGAGCAACCCAGCACCTGCAAGACTCAATCCTAGTGCAAAAGCAAAAGCATACCTACTAAAGTCGTATCTCGATGGGCCTCTGACTCTGTTCCTCTTTGCAGCCTTATGCCGGCCCTTCCTCAATTGCCTAGCTTTGCACGGCATCCATGGTAAGACCACTGGAAAGAGAGTGGAGATTTGCTGGCCCTTGTTAAGCTGGAGGCAAAGTGTCTCCAACTGTAGCAGTTGGAACCATTGCTTGTATGCAAAGAGGTATGAGGCTTGTCTAAAAAAGAGCTTGAGGATGTGTTCCTTCTCGGTGTAAGCCTTCTGGGCTGCCTTTTCAGCCTCCCTTGCCCGGGTTTGTGAGTGACAAAGTGCCTCTAACAGCTGAGCTTTGCTTAGATCACCATCAGAAGTGCCCCTGGTCTCTGTTCGATTCTTGTTTGTTGTACTGTAGCTGTTAGAGCTGCTAGAAGTGACTACAGGAATTGAGTTTGTGCTTCTTAACAACATAAAACAAAGTATTTTAAGATATTTTTTATATGCTTAGCTACAGGCATCAACATGGTATAACAATATATACCCAATTTAATAATAGGTTCTAAGCAATGACTTAGTAGTATTTGTATATGAGGTTCAACCATCAATTTGTCTTTCCTCTCTAATTTCTGAAGAGTCATTATTTATTTATATGAAAACACAATTCATGTCAGAAAAATGGAACAAGATAAATTTCAGATATATTGTATACAACTACTTTCATTTGAGGATTTGCAATATTTAAATTCTGACAAAATATGAAAAATCAGAAAAAGGAGATAAGTGTACGAGATAATTCAGTTTATTGGTTAGTTTCTCCCTTTAAATAGATTTTCTATAAATATATTATTAGTCTTAATTTCTACTGTTGATGTACAAATGTATACTAATTGCAATTTCCAGTTTGTTATTTTATGCTGTGTTTGGTTTGAAAGAATAAGTAGTGAAAGGTAGGGAAACCTATACAAGGTTTGTTAAGGTTTTCTTGCCTTTCCCTACCTTTTCTTTCAAACCAAAGACAGCCTTAATGATACTTGGTGCAACTTAGGGACAAATTATATCCAAACACTAAGGGAGTGTCGCAGTTAAAGTAGTTAAAGAGAACACTAGACCACATAATAAAAAAAAAAAAAAGTATAAAGTAAAGCAATACCTGAAAGGTTTCTCTGAACCATAGAGTGATCCTACTTCACCTGAAGACAATTTTTTGTCATCCATGTTTCCTGAAGTGGGACTGCTCCATGAAAAATCAGTGAAGTGGGAAAAAACACCATGTGTCTTTTGTTCTAAATATGAGGGGAGAATCTTGTCACAGTTAAAACACTCATGAGAAACAAATGGGCCTCTACTAACATGCATGGTCTGTGGTCGAGGGAGATCACAATTCTCAATATGCTCAAGTGACTTCTGTGCAACCAAGGAGGCTAAATCATCTTTATCCACAGCTCGCCACCATGGCTCAGTCTTCTCAGCTCCCATCCAAGGGGATTTTGAGTCAGAAGTAAGCTTTTCAGGCTGTTCTGAGATTAAGCTGGGATCAAAATCCATCTCTTCATCCTGGAACCAGTAGTTCCCTATGTCCTTATGTTTAAGCATTTCCTGTAAGTTTTTAGTACTTGCAGCCTTCAGTTCACGCATTTTAGCTTCTGCTCCGAGTTTTGCACATGTAGCAGGAACTTGCCAACATGAGTCCAAATAAGAGTCAGCATTCTTGCCACTTTCAGCATAAGTACTGTCTTCTTTGCTAAGTGGGTGCTCCCTTCCGAGTTCATAGTTCTTGTTTACCTCTCCACCTTTCAGGACTTCCAGTTCGGTTTCCAAGGCATTTAACTGTTCACACGTGAAATCCTTCTGATAACCAAAGTTGGGCTGCAACTGAAGCCACCATTTTGAATCAGGTGGAAGATTGGAATTTGAAATGTTCCAGTTGAGAGGGATGAAACCTGCAATGGAATGATCTGGCCCATTTGGTAAATCGCCAGCTCCAATATCAACTTGTGGTTTAGATGATGAAGGTGATGATGGGCAGCAAGCTAACTTGGGAGCTCTTTTGGCATCTTCTTGGACAAAACACCGATTAGCTGCTCGCTGCCAAGCAGCCCTTACTTCTGCTGCTGCCATTACTCTCTTCTCTTGTACATTTTACTGCAATAGAATTGGAATAAATTAGAATGGGTAGGACAATAAGATTCATGGATTTCCTCTACATCATATACGAGACATGAAGACTCATTCTTAAAGAAAATCAGAGACAAAACTATAAAGATCCTCATATTTGAAGGAAAAAAGTATCAGGAAATATTTTAAGTGGGAAGAGTTTAATCTGCAACAGGCTACTCAAAAAGGATATAAAAGCAATTCTACCATTTCTAGGGAAGGAGAAAAAGGCAAAACAAATTGGTACCATAATCAAACAACTTTATAAATTATTTCTTATCTAGAAAATGGGTAGGGAGGGGAGACCTATTATTGGGAGAGTGAACTTTCTCTGGTCTCCTTTTTCTCCTATTATTGGGAATCTCCAATTGTACTTCCATATTCATGTTGATAAGATCTCTTTGATCTTGTTACCAGTAAAAAAGACAAGAAAAACATAATGCATACAAATATTTAGTTCCAGAGTTCAACCAATTTAACAGATTTTCTAAAAAAGAACAGTAGCTTGGATCCACAGTGTATCACCTCAATCCTAAATCACTTGTCTAGAAATCCTGGCAAATGTTATGGACCTAGGTGCATCCACGGTTATCATGGAACCAAGGCAAGACAAGACTTGGTGCCAAAAAAGCATCTAGAGGCACCTGCCTAAGCATTGCTACACCTATGTGATGACTTATAATATAGAAACAAAAACTGGTTAATGTAGCTTGTTTCTCTAGGTATTTATAGGTAGTTTGCTTTCCTAAGTGAATTAGCAACTAGAAAGTACTAATAGTAGAATACAAGAAATATTACATAGTCTACGAGAAATAAAACATAAAGGTGTACTGGTTTGGCTACACCCCCAATACAAGAACACCAGAGTTAGGCATAAGGTGACAATAAAAAAATCCTTATCACCTAGGAGTGGCCACTTAGGCATTCCCTCGACAACTATGGATGCATCATCCCAACATAGACCCAATTCAGCTGAATGCTGGCACCTTTAGATTAAGTCTTTTCTGATTCAAGAGAATTGTACTTTGATCATTCATAAACAATAGCCTAAATTCAACTCTTAAACAGCTAAATACCAGGTATTTTTCCTCCTTGAACATTGCAAGGTTGAGTCATCAATTGAGCAACCTTATCCAGTTAATAATATGAATATACAATGGTCTGGGTCCAGATCCTATTTATCTTTTTGTGTATCATACTGTACTTTATATAACCCAGCTGTTACATGTCAAATGGACCTATGTATCTGCAAATCATGCAGTGACATCAGCAAGAATGAAGAATCTGTTTCCTCTTTGAAATCTTGGATTATAGATACCCGAGAATCATTATCTATCTATTTGGATAAGATGTGATTCAGTCCAGTAAAAAACAGTAAAAATATTTCAGATTATAGCAGACGAGGAAGAGAAGAAGAAGAAGATAGCAACAAGAAGAGGGAAAGATGGAGAAAGAAGGAGTTCGATAATCTCCTCTTCCACCTCTCTAATCTTTTATTAATCTTACTAAGATTAGATAAATTACAAGTCTTCCCTTAAGTGGGCATCCACCTCATCAACATACTTAGAAAACATAAAAAAGGATTAAAGGCCCACAAAAAAAGGCCCATTAAGAACAAAACAGCAAGGAAGAACTAACAATAAGATAGTAATGGGCTAGGGCTCATTCGGCCCAGTCTCTCTACAGGATATCTATTTGAGGCTTTCCAAATAGAAACACTCTCTTCCCGTTTCCCCCAAGATAGCTGAATTCTGATGATTGTGTAGCTAAAATAGGTATGTGAAATTTCCTTTTTTTTTGTATTTTCTTGTGCATACTCTCATATAAATTTTCCTTTTTTGAATGAAGTAATTGTTACACTTAATAATCACCATCTAATCCTTACCTGCTTAAGTTGAATCAGTTTTAATTGTCAAGATTCAAGAATTAGGCATATATGATTATTCACTTCAGTTAAAAGACAGAATTGAAAGAGTCTTTACAAACAAACAGCTGCAAATTGTTAAAGCTATTATAATTTGTCATTTAAAGGTATTCATGCAGTATCTTGTCTTGTACCAGCACTTAACCATGTTACAATAGGTATATTAAACATGTTCAGGTATCTAATAATAGCATTGTATAAACCATGGTTTTCGAACCGTCGTTGTGCAGGACGTTGGACCGTTCAGCCCAGGAACTGTCTAGGCAACCGGTTCCATTTTACCCCACATCCAGTCCCTGGCAAAAAACCATTGAATTGGTCAACGACCCGATGACCCGAGTAGTTGAACTGTCAAACCATTCGACCTGTTCAACAGTTTATGGCTTTTTATTTTAATTATATATTTTTTAAATTTTTAAACTTTTGTCAGAACAGGTCGTCCATTCGAAACAGACAGTCGAACTGTCGACCCAAAAACCAATGGCCATAATGGTTCCGGTTCCGGGTCATTTTTTAAAACATTGGTATAAACTAGAGTGCCTAAATTTTCCACTGGAAAGGAGTTAAATGGCTACATTTTTTTTTTGTGGAGTTCAATGTTAGAGAAAAATTGCACTTCTATTTATTTTAGGCATGAGAAATACTTCTAGCATTCCAATAGTAAATATGAACTCCTGAGCAACTGGTCACAGGCACGAGAAACCCATGCTTGAAATCCAAAAAATAGTCCAACTGTTAATATGAAGGGAGCTTCACTTATCCCTATTTGTTTGTGATAGAGTTAAATGCAAGGAGATCGACTTAACCTCTTTTGATTATGATGCAAATCAATGCATGACGCCTGACTTAACCTAATCGATTTTGAATGGGTTCAATTCATGGAGACTGACTTAACCCTAATTGTTAGTAACGGAGTTCAATGCCAGGATATTCACTTATCCCTATTTATTAATGACGGAGTTTAGTTCCAAGTGATTGAGTTAACCCTTGATGCAAATGAATATATGTATTATATCAGTACCATGGACTACACCCTCTTAAATCTGTTCACCTTTTTTACCTTACCTTTGTGTCTTGCACACTTGAGATAAGCATTTTATTAATGCATCTAAATGGTTATCTGATGAAACCACTGAAGCACTAGATGGAACTAGAAGATAAATTCAACAAGGTTCAAAGTTGCAAATATTCAGGCATTGACAAATCATGAATTCTCAAAACGAAAATCCGTCACTTAAGCCACATATCTTCATAACTTCAAATATGATTTTGAACCATCAGTACATTTTGCCTGTGAAGGGACACCTCATAGTAGGGTTGAAAGGTATGATCATCCAAGGGATTTGGGGCAACTGGGACTGACCGAGCAAGAGAAATTAGAGGTCAAACAGAAAAATAAGGTGTGGTGTCAGATTATGGTTGTAGGATAGAGGGAACATAGGGAACAAAAGGCTACAAAGTATATGGAATAAGAAACAGGAGAATTACAGAAAAGAAAAAGAAACAGATAGAACAGCAACTTGTATGCTTTCAATTAGGAATTGAGATGATGCAAGAGATTTACTGAACTGGATCTTCATTAAAGAAATAATAACATAAAAAAATCAAGAAATTTTAAGAACATTAATCAGTGTAGTCATTCCAAGAAATTTACCATATCACTCAATGGTCCAACTATGGGAAATTAAATCCATAATTCTTACCTATTTTTAATTTCAAGACATTTTCATTTTTAGTTTTCTAAAGTAATATTCTGAAGAATGGCTCATGAACTTACTAATTAATTACTTATATATACCCTGTATCTTTAGGATATTATTGTTGTTGTTGTTGTTATTAGTATTATTATTACTATTTTTCATTTCTGTCCAGTTTTTTCCCTGCAGATCTTGTCAAATCAAGTGCAAAACTAAGCCCGGCTGCTCTAATTTTCCCCCACCTCTCTTTGGAGGAAATTTAATTCTGACTAATCACTAAAATGAAAAATCAGAATTACTCCAGAAAGAAGTTCTTTCATTGGGCTCCCAACTAAACAGATTGATCGTGGGTGATAAAAATCACCTACATGCAAAGCTGGTGCCAATCAGGCTTCATGTCTGGTGTCCACTGTCCACTGGTCTAGGCAGAAATCACTTGCGACCCGGTTCAGCCACTGATTTGAACACAGACAAGAAAACTAAAGGGGGGGAGGGGGTGCTGTATACACCCCAGCATTGCCTTCGATTCTTTGTTCTTTTTTTGAACGGATGGTTGAACATGGTTGAACATTTTGAATAGTGCAATGAGAACATTTTTTTCCATAGTTTTGAACATTTAGGGGCAAGATCGGTATTATGAAAACCTTTGGAGTGAGCTGCTAACAGCTCTAAATGGTGCAATAACAGAGGTCATGTTAATGTTATGTAGGGCCAGCCAATGAGGCATATATAAGTTGTTTTTAGAAATTGAGGGTATATATAAGTAATTAACCCTTAAAACAAACTTTGAATGGATATATATATATATATATATATGAAAGAAGCAAATTTTTATGCCTATTTCTCAATGCAAAGCAACTATTTGTGCTACATAAAAACCCTAACCAAATAATTAGAGATAATACGAGATACACGTTGGACTTATAAGCAAACTGCATGAACCTTCTAGCAACCATATTCATAGGTTGTAGCTATGGCTTTGTGAAAGCCTATTAACAAGGCACATTTACAGGCCAACAAGGGCTGACAGACACTACTTGAGAGCTATTTTCCAAGCCAATCTCACAGGTTCCTATCAAATATCAAGCATATGCTACTACCAAGTTAACTACAAAAGCATAATCTGGTTCAAATCAAGTGAGAACTTTTGGTTGGTTGCACATTCAATGGAGATTCTATCCCCTGTTTTATATTAGGGGCTTGTTGGTCTTTTATGATGTAGCTTTAGTGTGAGAATTAAATATCAAGCTTTCTTTACATATTTGAATAGTTGTCAAATATTGATGGAATTGGGTATAAAACTTTCACTTTTTCCACAATACTTTTGCCAATTAAAGCCTCCAGAGCTCTTACTGTACCACAGAAGGGTCAAATCAAATAAGATAAAATAATTTTCACAATCTAAATCATTTCTTCCTATCTTTTCCAGTAACTGATTTGTGCCCCCACTCTATTAGGATTATGTAATTTTGAGTTCTCCAAACCCCTAGATGTAACCCTTCTAGTCCTTCCTTCGATTTTTTTATCATTTCCTATTCTTCACATCAAGTCTTCAACTTGTTTTCTTCAAGCTATGATCAGTCTTTTCTGGCCCCAGCCAACTTCATCATCGGGTTTTAAGAATGTATTCTCAAGGATAAATTAATATGGCTATTTTGACCTTCTTAAAGAAGCCAAACAAAATTCCAGTGATGTTCTCTTCTATTCATTGATTCCTTGGTTTCTAAAGCTTCCAAGATTGATGGAGTTAGTCCATGAAGGAACAAGCTGATCTTCAGCCTAAGAGCTACACTTCAAATTTGGCAGTATGCCAATCTGCCTCTTGGGCAGATGAAAAACACTTTGAATCTGCTGGTTACCTATGAGTGGGATCTATTGTTGGATCCACAATAGAAGCACACCAAGTGTTTTAAAAGCACAAGGAACAATATGCCAACTAGCTTGTTGGAAAGGTCTCCTGCTGGTCGTAGTGGAGACTTGGGATCGAATCCCTCCTGAACCTAGGTTGGGGGCTTATGAGTTGGGGGATGGGTTACCCTCCGTTGTGTAGCCCTTCAAAAGATATCCAAAAAAAGCACAAGGGTAATTTGTGCCCAAGGTGCAAGGCGTAAGACCAGGCACACACCTTTTTGAAGCAAGGCAAAAAAATGCCAAAAAATTAAAAAATGCAAAGAAAATAAAAATATCAAACATAATATTAATTAAAAATATAAACTTATATTAATATTAAAAAACTTATTACCTAAAATTAAAATACATAAACATAACATGTAAAACATATTCAAATGAAAATTGAAAAATAAAACCAAACACATGAAACATATTCAAGCATAGAAAATCCCCAATCTCTTTTTTTTTTCCAATTACATTACTTCAAATAGCTAATGTGATGTAAAACATTTTGCATTACTGATTCTATGAGCTGCCTTTGTACCAAGCCCCTTGAGGCAAGCCCAAACAGGTCTATGTTAGGGTCTTAAATTCTTAATCCCTACACAAAAAAAAAAAAGATTTTATAATTTTAATTGCCTTTCAAGAAGATATTTTATTAGGACGAATGAATGAACAACATTAGCAAATAGAACAAGGTGCACACCTTGCCTCAAGAATGGTTGGCCTTTTTTCTGCTTCAGCCAATTCTCAGAGCTTCGGTGAGTGAGCGAACTGGCTGAAGCGGAAAAATAGAATAAGGCACATACCTTGTTCTCAAAGCTTCACTAGGTTCAAAAAAGAACAAAAAGCACAAAAAAATAAAAAGGTGCACACCTCGACTGAAGTGCAAGGTGCACCAGGTGCATGCCTTTTGAAAATGCTGCACCTAGGGCTTAGGTGAGGCACAAACCTTAAAATGCACCTTGCCCATGCACCTAGGTGCACCTTTCAAATCATTGAGCACACCTTCGAGCTTGTAAGTACAGACTGCTGCATGAATATAATATGCAGTTTGTATTTACATGTGCAGCGCCACATTCCTATTGGGGATAGCAATGACTCCCACTAATAATTCATCAAAAGATCCTGAAAGGCTGAAACTATGAAAAATGAATGAAGTTAGTTAACCTTTTTTGTCAAAGGTATGTAAAATAGCATGGAATTCTTTATGGAGAGACTTTTGCAGCTATTCTACACATGACTATGCACAAGAATCATGAGGAGTCCTTTCATGGCAATCATAACAAGGGGGTTTACAAGACTTGCATTAAAATATGACATAATCCTAATCCTAAATCTATGGCTATGAGGCTATCCCACTTTGTTTCAATGTCTGACATGTTGGATTGGGAAAAAAATTATAGATTTGTATGGTCTTAAATAATATTATGTTCATGTTAAGATATGAATGTATAGAAATTCAGTATCTTCCAACAAAGCACTGCCAACTGCCTCCCTGTTTGTTCAAAATAATTCTAATTGCCTAGGGATATGTTTATGATCTTCTTAGATGATATTGCTTTTTCATCATTCTTCTACTAACATGGCATAATCAATCTCTTCGTATCTCACATCTTAAAAGTGGGAGAACAAAGTCAGTTAAGGTTTATGCCTTTATGGGGGGAAAGTAAAAACAAGTGGTTGAATGTGAAGATGGAAATAGGACCTAATTCTGAACTTAGTTTGAAAAAAAAAAATGCACACAAAGTTAAATGTAAGCTTGATTAAGGGATGGTGATTGAGATATGGAAGCAGGGAAAGAATACAGGAAGAACTAAACCAGTTTCCCAAATCCTACAGCAATTTCAGAATTTGTCTTAGAAATATGGTTTTTAAGTCTTCTAGCAATTAGTTTTATTAGTAAAAAACTAAAAACCAAAATTGCTATTCATAGGGGCCATTGCATATTGTAATGGTAAAATCCTGAGCTGATAAGAGCAGCCACTTTGTGAAAAAAAAATGCCAAAGGTTAGGTCTGTATCCAGTCCAGGCCTCCCAAGGCCCCAGAATCCAAACAGCTAGGACCAGAATTGGGTAATGGCCTTTTTTATTATTTATAGTAACTTTCAGACTTATAGCAATTTTCATAATTACTATTTATAGTAAAGTTGTCATTTACTATTTTTATAATTTCTGCAATTATGTTTTCTTTACATTAAGTTCGTTTTAGAAGGATTTATAATGAATTTTTGGAGTTGCTTAGAAGTTAGAGTCCTTATTTGAGTATCACTATGGGCTATCCATGGGTTGGTTCATCTTAGTTTTAAAGCAATTACAAGTTGGTTGGGTTCAGTTTTGGAGTCCATGTCCTTATGGTGAACTAGTCTCTCTCTCTCTCTCTCTCTTGATTCTTTATCCAAGCAATTTATCTATTTGTTATTTAATCACCCTACATAGATCACTATCAGATCTGAAAATTGGACCTACCTGTCTTACACCAGATGGCATGTCTCAAAACCATAAAATAAAATATTAGGACTGCAAATGAGATGCAGAGAGATTTTAGTTCCATTATGGAAATTGCTACAACCCAGAAAGTAGTCACCACCTTTCATGTCTAGAGCCCAGTACGACATATTGATAAGGACTCCTAGAAATCATCAGGAAGATCTTTGACCAAGCTACAAGTGTCCTATTACTTAACTATCCACAACCTAAGTTTCTAGAAGAAACAGTACAACATGCACTAGTGAAAGTCGGATGGTTATGAAGAGGGATCCGAGTAAGTCAAATTAAATAAATATGATAGTTGATATAACTAGAACCGCATATTCAGGTTTTATTTGAATATGTTTAGTGAGAGGTTATTTTTTAAGCTCCATTTGTATTAATGAATGATGACAATTAATAAATCATTTAAAGTAGGATAAGAACCAAGTATGTGGGGGAACTTACAAAAAAACAATGGATTAAAACACAAAAAACCAATAAATCAAATTTATCCAAGAAAATTCAAGTTACCTTAACAAGATAAAATCAAATACAATTCAAAGAAGTTCCAAGTCCAGTAAAATTTCTCAATGACATCAAGACAGAAAAGTTTGTTCAGGTGTTGAAAAGTACAGAATTAGAACTAGTTGAGGCTGAAAGTCAAGTTCTAAGGAGGCTGCCTAAACTTATATAGTATCCTATGATGATGAACAAACCTTACGAGATAACAATATAACGAAGCATCAATATTCAAGATTTAACCTTATCTACTTAATTAATTATGAAAATTTGAAAAAATTGTAATCATCTCTTTGGGAGTATCAGGCATCCAATTCATGATCATCTTGAAAATGTGGTAAAGTCTTACTCTAAAAAAAAAGTAAAAAATAAAAAATAAATAAATAAAAGAATGCCCATGTACTCAGGATACTCAGGATAACAAGATGAATTGAAAGAATCACCCCGTCCTGCCACTCAACAAAAACGAAAACCAATAATAGTTTTTAAGACACAAAATCAATCCAAAAACAGCGAAATAAAAAACAAGTGACTTTTTATTCAAAATAAACACATTTTAGATTGATTAACGGATTCGCCCCCACCGTTGATATATGCACTTAAAATTCCAAATACCGAAATTACCCAACTCAAACTCAATTCATGCAGCAAACAAAATAAAATAGATGATATAGAACTTGCAAGATCTCTCCCCCGCCGTCCAGGTAAGTATAAGTTGCAAGATCTCTCAGAATCTCCAAAAAAAGAAAAAAAAAATCAACCATCATCATCTTTAATAAAAGGAAAAAAAAGCTCAGTTCCAAAACTCACCATAAGCAACGAAAGTAACACTGGGTTCAAATTATGGTTCAAAACCACAGAGGCACAGAAAATAGAGGGGAAGGGAGGCGGGAAGCCCAATTAAGAAATCCCCTGATATTTACAGCACCTCTGCGGAGATAGTAGCAAACAGAAACACCATGCAATCAATATATTCAAGATATTTTTTTTATGAAAATGAAATAGGAATAAGAAACAACCAGAAAAAAAAAAAGAAATAACCGTCCCACCACAAAACAATATATCCTTATGAATCAATGTATCCTTACGCAGAGAACAAGAAGCGGAAATTACACTACTTAAACTCATAAAACGAGTGGGAATGATTAAATCTTACAGACTCAAAGCATGAGTCATAGACGGTAAAAATTATAGAAAAAGAACAAACTTTTCTCAGATCTCGAGGAGGGGAAAGAGAGGGAGAGAACCTGGTTAGAACATTCTTGAAAGAGAAGAGTGCTTGGATTGAAGAGATGATGAACCAAATGGATAGGGAACTTGCTTGACGCCACAATCTGTTTTCAGATCCAAGGAAGAATTCCACAACGGAGGGACGGATGACGAGTGTCAGTCCTCTTGCTTACATTATTACAGCTTTTTTTACTCATTTTTTTTTTAATTTAAAATAAATAGATAAAAAATCAATTTATGCTGTGGGGGACTTTGAGGAAATAATAACTGCCACTGCCAGGCTGAGTCGCTGAGGGGACCCAAACAGCATAAAAATAGATAAAAAATCAATTTTTATTGGGCATTTTCAAGGAGGTCCGAAAACAATAAAATCTTCTTCAACGGCCCCTTCCCAAAAGATTATTCTTTATTTTTATAATTTTCTAGTTGCTAGCCTAACCGCCCGTCTCTGTAGCACCTGGCATGTAAAGAAGGGAAAGCCATCCGATGCAAAACCATTAAACCACTGATCAGACGATTAGATTAAATGAGGCCCCATCAATTAATGAACTTTTATTTATGGACAATTGGGAGGTTATGCAGGTGCGACCAATGTTGACAGAATCTTCAGATTTACGGCTATGAACCAAGAAGTATAATTCTGGATTAACTGCAAGCAATTGAACTTTTATTTATGGACAATTGGGAGGTTATGCAGGTGCGACCAATGTTGACAGAATCTTCAGATTTACGRCTATGAACCAAGAAGTATAATTCTGGATTAACTGCAAGCAATTCACCGAGTCAGAGTGAATAACCAGTTGAAGGAATGGAGGTAATTGACTGGAGACACCTTAATTTGATTTCGATGGGAGGGGAGTCGGGGACCGTCAAGATATGTAGTTATGGACAAGCTTCAAGCGCCACGTGTTCGGAGTTGCAAATGGAAAGCCAACGAGGCTGATGTAGCGTAAAAGCATTATAGTAGTTTGTAGTGAACGAAACCAGAGATGGACCTCCTGGCTCCTACAACAGGTTTAGTGGACAATTTAGAAAAGAGAAAGAAAGGAAAACGGTCCATCGCCTTTCGTCTACGAGGGGTGCAAGTTTTTTTTCTATTTTTGGGGCTATACAGTGGGATTTAGCGAGGAGTTCTCACAATTTCAGGTTTAACCGTTTAAAAGATGATCGCTTGGTTTATAACTTCTGTTTAGAACTGTTGCTGAAACATGTCTTTAGGTTTATTAATTGCAATTACCTCCCCTCAACTTTTTAATATAATTGCAAATAGATTCTTTTCTTACAATCTGGTAATAAGAGTCATAAATTTTATCAATATGATTATTTTCTAAATTTTATTTTCATATTAATAGCTATCTCAAATTTCAATCTCTTTTCTGAAAATGATTTATTTTTAAAATTTACCTTATAACAATTGCTAAAAGGTAAAGCTACAATTTTTTTTTATTCATAAAATTTTGTGTTGTTTTTCTATAGAAACCAAATAATAATTGCATAGGTATTTTTGGATTTTTTATGCCATTTTTAAAGGATTTTAATAAAGGAGGTTTACTGGTAATTCTATCAAAAAGTTCATGGGAGGTTTTAGCAACAGTTATATTAGAAACTTTAGAGGAGGTTTCAACAATTTACCCTAACTAAATGTTCATTTACTTGTTCAGGGTAAGCATCTGCTACCAACTCAATGCTCCCAACAGTTTCCCACTATTTTGCTATCCATGGGAGAATTAGGGAGGAGTTTAAATTAGCGCCCCAAAATGCCCCACAGTACATTCCAATCGTGATCATCTTTCGATGACAAGTATTGGGGATGTTCTCAATGCAAATTCAGTGGGTGTTTGGCATCGATGCCATTTTCTAAGAAAACAACACCACGTAAGCACCACATCAAAGAAAATAGTGCTTCAAACAATGCCTCTTGTTTGGCACCGTTTGTTCAGAAAAATGTTGCTCCAGACTACACCTTGAAAATCAGGAAAGTGTGGTATGGAACAATGCAAAATTCAATATTTTCTCGATGGTGCAATGATATGGCATCATCTTAGACATTGGATAATGTAAATCAATATTGAAAACGTTGCTACCAACATTAATACCAAACAAAACTAATATTATTTTCTCAGAAAATTTCTACAGCACTGGTTCTAAACAAAAAATAAGCCCCATTTTCTTGCAACTCCACATACCCAATACTCTTTATGAGAAAATATTATATATTCCCAGCACTGATGCCAAACACCAACTGAGATGTGACCTAATACTATCAATCCAGTCTCAATAGGCCACTGCAGCCTCACATTTATAATATCTCTTTAATCATTCATGAGAGCTGTTCCTAATATACAGCAGGGAAGTGATGGTTGGTAGCTGATCCAACGATGTTGATACAGTGTTGGGAGTGATTGTTGGTAGTATATTCCGATTTTTTTATTAATTTTAAATTTTTTTAAATACATAGTTAGGTTAGGCCAGTTAATAGGTGGTAAGAACTACGAAGTGGGTGCATTGCAATTGCAATTGGAGTGTGTGTCCAATTGGCGTTTGGCGGTGTTTGTGTTGGCCTGCTGGGTCTGGGTGCGTCTAGCCGGTTGGGCAGTTGGGCTGCTGATGCTTGACAAACCTTTTGTCTGTTCCTAAAAAATTCTTTTTTTTTATCCTATTAGGCTACTACTTACCTACGTTCGATAGCATGTGCTATCCACATACTCCCCAGCGTTGCCACGCTACTTCATATGAACTGTGTACGGCATGAATTGATGTCGGTTGGGCCCAGTGATACCGATGGCCCACCAAGTTTTGTTGTACAAACTACAAAGGTTGTTTGATTTGATGTGATGAATTGATGATGTATGCGTTGGGTATAATAGTTCAACGATGGGCTTGCACATAAAGCGAGGCCTGTTTTTGTAAGTTTCTAGTATTATGGGCTAAATGCTGAATTAGCATCCACATGGCAGTTCCAAACACGGCCGATGATGGTATGCGATTTAAGAATTGGCATTTCCATATTTACTACACCTCGCAAGTGAAATGACATACTCAACCACTACATAAGCGGGAACACAACCAACCGACGTCCTCTATATAAATAGGGCAAGAAAATAAAGGAGGCTCCCGATAGCTATAACACCAAAAAAAAGACCCTTTTTTATCCCAAAATTTATTCCAGGTGATGGGGCAGCCACCTAAGAATTAAAAAAAAAAAGACCATTTATCTAAGATTAAGCATAACTTTTTTATGCAGCTTTCAAATTAGGCCAGACCATAAAAAAGAAACTGAAATTAGCGGAGTTAGTTGAGCAAAAGGCTGGATTTAAGCTTGGATCTTGAGACCTACGTGATCAATTGGACCAAGCCCAACCCATTTATGCTTAATTTGGATCCTATAATGACAACTGAAATTCCAAATATAGTGGCCCAAGGACAGGCTGATCAGCCTTTTCCTTTTGACAGTTAAGACAAGCTTAAAAGAAAAAGAAAGGAAAGAGAAAAACCTGAAGATGGTTTAGTTCACACAGATTTAAGATTTCCCACTAATTAAAAGTGAAGTCTGTGGGTATTAATGCTACAAATCTGGTTTCTAAAACTATCTTAACATACTGACCCAACTACAAATCCAGCTTGAGCTTGCCCACCGAAAGATTGAAGGGGGCAAAGACCAAAGTTGTCCATCTACGCAGCACAAGCATGATCTAGGGTTAGAGTTTCTACATAAAAAAAAAGAAGGTTAAAATTTGGATGCCACCATTTACTAGGCTGTACTATGTGTTTCTATGTCACGCATAAAAGCTGGGATCAAAACTTGGTAATTAGAATTCATCTGAGCTTGGTTTCCATGTTTAAGATGATGCCAACTGATTTCCAAGCTCCTCCCATCACTCCCTTTCACCATTGGTATGACATTGACAGCTAATAGCCGGGTCTCTCTAACTTGTAATGAACCCAAAGCACAGATAAGATAAGCCTCATTGCATTTGAAAGTATCAATAACGATGTTGTCACTTGTTAGTGGAAAGCTATACCAATCGAGGCAAAATATAAGAGAAACCGAGAAACTAAACAAAAGCAAAGGCGAAGTACTTGCCAAAAGAAAAAAAAAAGGGTGCTAGATGGATCGAAGTTTTTATTCCTGAGGCAAGAAAAGGGTAAATCGGGTACGCTATTTTATTTTTTCAAAAAATCTTGTATATAATAAGGACATGGCTGAAACATGGCGAAGTACGCTATTTTATTTTTTCAAAAAAAAGTGCTATTTTATTTTTTCCAATCTCCATAACGGATGTGTGATCCGAATCGAAGAAACAGAGCAAACGCCCACGAAATTGGCAAGGATGATACATTGAACGATTGAACGGAACCTGGTTGGTGTTTCCACTTTCCAACACGCGACCTTTGAGGCCTAGATTTCCGTTGCCCACTAGGATATTTGTCCTACTTTGGTAGCAGCAACCAAGAAGCGGATTATTATTATCACTTTTTCTTTGAGTTGGGAAGGTGGGGTGCTGGACAATGACGGGTTTTATTGAACCAACTAACCCTAACTAGCATCGATACCCACAGACTAAACCAAACATCCATTCTGGTAACCATGTAATATGTTGACAAAGAGAAACAAACGTTGGTTTGGGTGAAACCAGCAACAATTAAGTAGTAATAGAACACATTAAGATCAAGTTAATACTTACTTTTTCTTGACGTTCATGAGAAGAATGTTAAACTTGAGCAGTGGATGAAACTGGTTTTTCCTTCTTCCTTCGTTGTACCTCCGACTAGTTGACACTACTACGATATCGTGTGCTGCTTTCTTTCCTCAAATAAAATTGTAAACAAATTGAAGTCCACGGGATACAAACCTCAATGGAAGATACCACTAGCGACGACAGAATGTTTCATCAATGTCACAATCGAAGCTAGGCTTTTTTAAAAAAAAAGGAATGTTTTGCCAAATATCAAATTTCAATTTCATAGCATGATTAAGATTTTCGATGATCATTCCTACCAATACTCCTCGGGATGGCATTCCGGTTGGGATCCGATTTCTCCGACTCAATGGGGTTGGGGATAGGAATTGTTTTTGCAAAGTGAAAATAGGGACGGGGATTAATAGAAATTCCTGATTGGGGTTGGAGTGGGGGATGGGGATTGAGGTCTCCGTCCTTTTCCAATCCCGATTATATATTTATATTAGC